CTTTCCCTCAAATTTGTCTTGTGCTCCAAAGTACAAAAAAAAAAAAAAATCACAGAGTGAAAGAATTAGTAGCAATAAATCTATTTGATCCAGCAAGGTGAAGAGTTTTACTCCTTTTGCATTTTACTGGACATGGGTGTTACTACACAAAGTGATAAAACAATTTGCCTACTGCCTGCAAAAGCACCATCGTGCAGTCAGCGTGAGTCACCAGCAAAACCCAAAGAAGTAAAATAAATATATGAGACTGTCTATGCACCTAAGCAAGTTTGTTCTGAAAAAGAAACTTGATTGGCGTTATCTAACTTTGATCTTATTGAAATCTGCCTCTGCTTGTACTTTCAGAACTCCAGTCCCAACAGTCCTTGAATACAAAATATTATTTATATTTCTATTGATAAATTATTATCCGTAACTATATCTAGTCTTTCTTTCTGATACGGCCTCTTATTTCCCCCTCCACACTGCTACATGGTTCCCTAATTATATTTGATTATTGCACCACAATCAGTGATAACAAAAAAGGATTTAGCCAGGTAAGCTCGCTGTGTTAGTTCTGCATGTGATACAGCTCACCTTGATGTTTTCATTGCAAATACATCACCAGTATAGCAAATGTATTTCCAAAAGCAAGAATGGTATGTAATGAACTGCATTTTATGAGCAAGTAGATACATTATTAGCTATGACCAGGAACATGCTACGTAGCTCACAGCGCACAAACTGATCAAGAACTAGGATGCATACACAGATTTTCTGATCTTTTGCCTGTTCCCAGAAGTAAGAAATGGGCTTGGCTTTACAAGTAAGAAATGACCTTAAAGCCACAGGAGAATCTCCATGTGTAGGCCATGTGTAAAGAAGTCCTTTGGTGACTTAAAACTGCCACATTGATTCTTTCGAAGTTATGACTTGGAGCCAGCTCAGCTAGACCTCATCTTTTTGTCCAAAAACTCACAAGATAGATGTGCCACAGTATCCAAGGTCTAATTAGGCACAAACATCCAGCAGAGTGTCAATAAAAGCCATGAAAAAAAGCAAGTATACTGCTCTTTTTTTTTTATTATTGGATAAAAAGGAATTCCACAAAGCTAAAAATTGCACAGTATATTGGGCATCTATGGCCAAACACTGAAAAAAAAAAAAAAAAAAAAAAAAAAGTCTGGTATGGTGAATGAATTAAAGAATAAAAAAGGCCAACATTCCTCCCAAGGATATGTAACCAACCTCCTGGAAAACTCACTCTGATGGCGTTTGCAGCAGAGGCAGGCTGGGGTACCAGGGGAGCGCAGCGAGCAGCCTGACGCCGGACAGGCTACACCATCTCCTAACACGCGATACAGCTCTCGGTGAAGCCTCGGAGCTTGTGGACAAAACATTCCTACAGTATCTCTCCAGCATGTTGTCTTCCAGTGAATACCTCCTTCACCTCCCGATGTAGGG